CAGACTAGCCATTACCTTGCATAATCCTGCAACAGAATGCTAGCAGACTAGCCATTACATTGCACAATCCTGCAACAGAATGCTAGCAGACTAGCCATTAGCTTGCATAATCCTGCAACAGAATGCTAGCAGACTAGCCATTACCTTGCATAATCCTGCAACAGAATGCTAGCAGCATTCCATGGCTAAAAGCTTGCATTTGACTGACGATGAACTTCAGGCAATGGCACTAACCTTGTGGCACATCTCTGTGCCCTTCATGATGAGGTTCCTAGCCACCTGCAGCTTGCCTGTCACCTCCTCCAAGCGGGCTGAGGCGATCCAGGCGGGCGGGTGGTGAGGGTTCGTCTCCCTCACGGACTTCAGCAAAAGGCGCGCCTTCTTGATGTCACTGGCACACACACACACACAACATTCACCACATTTTAGGTTTATTGCAGTCTAGGTGCAGTCTAGGTGCAGTGTAGCGCAGCACAGCAGTCGCAGGGTAAGAGGGTCTGAAAGAAACATGGTGATGACCACCCACCCCGAGGTCTAGCGGGTCACACACAAAAACATCGTGCCTCACACCTGATGTCACCACCATAAGTAGGAATCATGGAGTTGAGGTCCGTCAGGTATCCCTTGGGGTCCACCACCGTCTGCCCGCTCACGGAATCAGACACCTGACCAGCAGAGACATGGAGCTTCGCATCAGAAGGTTACTTGCATACGCGCAAGAAACACTGTCGTCATTAGTGCTTGGCAATATGACGATAATTTATAGTGACCGGTTGCAATAGTATCCACGATAAGCGTTTCAGAGTTATCGCCAGAATCGCAATGCGGCAGAACTTAGGACTATTACTATATCAACAGAACAATCTGGCAAGTGCCCATCACGTGACGTCGGCGTATTCGGAGGGTGCAACAAAAAACAGACCAATGTGAAACAAAGCAATTTCAGACTAGAAATTTTCTTGAACTAAAAAAATTTATAAAAGTTACATAGCACTGGATTGTTAAAAATATTGCACTTGGTCCATAGACAGGTTGGCTATGCTGTCACATAAACAGTGTGCAATATGGTTTATAAGGAAGATTCGGTTCCAAAAAAATGTTCTGCTTCAATTGAGTGGAAATGGCTTGGATTAGCTAAATCTGATGTGGACCAATCTACTGCAAAGATAACATTCATACAACTTGTAGCAACACAACCAATTGTATGTATCCATACTTTGCATTTGTTGTAAACCGAGTTCTAAAGTACAGTTATTGACCACAGTGATAAATGTTCATTTGTACTCTACACTTTTGAAAGTTCAGTATTTAAAAAAATTAATAGCACTTTTGCTTTACTGAATTATTTTCTATGTACAGTATTTTACATACCGTAAAAAAATAAGTTTATTATAACACTACATGGTTAATTAACATCACTTCATACATTACAAACTGGTTAGTTTGTAAACAAGCATTTAAAAAATGTGATCTATATCGTGGATTGTGATTCTAAATAAAGATGCTGTAATCTGACATTTTGGCCATATACAGCCCACTCCTAGTTATTACTACAGCAGGAAGTTCCAAGCAGAGGAGGCTAAAATGACTGCTAAGATACTGACCATTTTCTAAGCTAATAAAACTGAAAGAGTTTGCCTCTACTCCATCCAGGGGTGCACATGTAAAGTGTCCATAATTGGAAACTATGGTTGTCAATCTGAAAATAAAATACCAGCTTTTGCTGTTACCAAAAACAAAGATGAAGCAGAGATCAGCGGCATACGCACCTGGCTCAGCCTCATGTCCATCAGGGTGTTTCTGGCCTGTCCGATCTTCCTCATGTCCAGGTCCCCAGTACCGGGGGTCATGAGGCCCGGTGTCATGCCCCCAGGGTAAGGCGTGTTCAGACCACCCGGGAAGGGTGTGTTCAGTCCGCCGAATTGCTGGAAGGAAAAGAAACGCTAATCAGATTCATAGCACCAGCCAGACAAACCATAAGACAGTAAGGCGCGTATGTGACAACTGACCCCTTGCCGGGGGTCAACGCTTGTGTGGTTATCGCCCGTCTGCAGGTGCTTGGCGAAGAAGCTGTCAGGCACTGGAGTGAGTTTCTCGTAGCGTGGGTTCCTCTGCCGCTTGTTGCGGGCATCGCCGACCTCTGGGATACTGAGCCACTCCTCTTCTGAGACCTCAGCCAGTTTCCTCTGCAAAGAGAGGAGAGGGTTATCCAATCACAGCTGAAGGAACTAGCACTATGGCCCCTTCCTATAGGTGGACAACAGCAAAGATGTGGAACACTATTGGCTGTGTGATACTTTAAGGGAAACGTGCCCCGCTAGTTATATATGGCCTAGGCAAGGAGAGCTGCTGTATTAACCCTCAACGTGCTGGGTAACAGAAGACCTATCAGAGCATCTGCAGCAACAAGCCAAACAAGCCATTTCCCTTAAGACACCTTTCATGTTGTAAGCGAATGAAACCAGAAGAACAATTACATCCAAATATCCCATCTGATAATCAGCCCCACAACTGAGGCCGGCACACACCTTGAGATCGGAAAACTGCTGCTGAATTTTGGGGCGCTCCATACGGTACTTCTCAATCTCCTCCTTTTCCCGCTGTTCCCTGGGGTTAAGAATAAAAGCAGCCATTGAGGCTACCAGGCCACCATCACGGATGGAGATAGCTCAATGGCGCGCTTGACGATGTGTACCTCCGCTCTTTGCGACGCTCATCCATTCTCTTGTCCAGGGCCGCATAGATGGCATCGGCTTCTTCGTCATCTTTTTCATATGGGCCGCTGGAGAACAGGCTGCCTGCATAGCCATTGAACTGCAGGCAGGATGTAGAAGCATGGATGAGTTTTTCCTTATGGTTGCATGATTCTATCCTCGCGGATAATAGCGATGTTACCTTCTCCCCCGCACTTTTACTCATGGCGTTAGGGCGACGTATAACAATACAATACCTCATCATAATTGGTGTCGTTGAGATCTTCGTCGTCATCGTCAGCCTGATTCTTTTTCATCTGGTCCCCGACCGTCCTCTTCCCCGGTGGCGCATGTCGATCATCCACTGGATCATTGGCATCACGAGCGGGACCGATATCGGACCGAGTGGTGAAACCGGTGGCCCTGGAAATAGCAGCAGTTTAAAAGTTTACTTAGACTCTTTCCTAACGTTACGAATAAAACAATAACTAATAAAAACACAGAGCTTAAATCTCAAGAAATTCTTCACATTTTGTGACAAAATGAGTAACCATTTACAATTACTGCAAACCAAAAAACTCCATCAAATATATGAAGACCGCCGCACAAATAATGTACAAGAGATTTGAATGATAGATACTAACTTATACTAGCCTATATATTAACACCGATCGCAAACTACATGTGCTGCTACCGCAGTACGTGTTACCCGACCATGTGCAAAGGCCTACAAAAGCAATGTTTGAAACCAAAAATATGAATCATTCATGAGACATATATATATGTAAACAACTTCTTCATGTATGTAAGTATTGGTGCAACACAGAAGATACCTTACCCTCTGCCGAGCCCGGGCACATAGCCCAGTGGCGCAGGCATGCCCAGAAACGGCTTTTTCTTCTTATTCAGGCCGCCGGTTAGGGAAACGGCGCCCCCGGAGCCGGACATGCTGTTCATGGCGCCCCCGCTTCCACCACCGGAGCTGTTACTGCCCGAGCCTGCCCCGGATCCGGACTTCGCGGCATTTTTGGAGCCTTGCTTTCCCGAAGAACTCGCCATCGTTACTCCAACAACTGCAGGGTTCACTTCCGGAAATAACAACATGGGTATTTCCCGTTCAAAGGTGATCAAGAATAGCTGTGAGATTTTGTAACAGCGCCACCACGCCCCTGGAGGCCGCATAAAGGATACGTATGTACGGTTTTTCTAGATTCTACAGGGGTAGGCAACCTTGATCTTGGAGTGCCGGTATCCAGCAGGTTTTCTATCGTACCTGATCTTTGATAAACCACACTTGATCTCAGGCAGATAGTAACTCATCAGGCGGGATCGAAAACCTGCTCCATCAATATAAATGAAGCCTTATTAGGCCAAACATGAAAACCTGCAGGAAACCCAGCCAAGATTCTCCGGCTCTTGATTAGTTAATAATATTAAGTAAGATTAATTACACAAGACTTAATCAACTGCTTATAGGGCCTAAATGTACCGATGAAAAATTATCAGGTTATTTGCTTTTGCCCCTTGATGAGAATAAAACACTGCTTCTTCAAATAAATCAGAGATTACCAGTTCACAGCTGTTGAACACTCAACTAAAGTAGGCCTACTCATACATATAAATAAGATTAATTAAAAATGTTGTGTCTTTGAATTTGTTAAAGTTTCACAAATAATGAAATAATGGAAACACATGCTATTAGCTGATATTTATAAATGGAAGCTTTTTTGTTTAATTAGACTACAAATTATTGCAAGAACATAATTAACTTATTGTGTAACTCAATTAAAAGTGCATGATGCATTAAATTAATATCTAAGTCCTAATGAGTACTGTACTGTAAAAATGGTGCTGTCCTTTGGATGAGACGTAAAACCGAGGTCCTGACTCTTTGAGGTCACAAAAAATCCCTGCAACAAGACAGGTTTAGCAGCAACCGCATAATGGCTTTGCACGAATTGTCTCATGGGGGGAAAAAAAACTTTTATTACACACAATCACGGGGTCTCAAAAATATACAGCGAACCATACTCAAAACACCGCTGGTGATTTTTCTTTTGGATCTTGGGTTTAGGGAATGAGCAGGATCTCCGCTTTACACGGCCATGAGTCCTGGTCATGTGCAGCTTATATTTGTTTGTGTAACTATTCCTTGTTTAGGTTTTTGCTGGAAGGGGCCTCCTCTAGCTCTCGGTTGTTCCGTCTATTATTCTACAGACCATCTGAAATGCCCCCAACAGGGGTAATTACAGCCTTGCCGGGCCGGGGAGGCGTGTATGGGGTTTGTGAACTAGCGGGACATGGTCTCCCACATGGAGGTGCAGCTGTGCAGGTCTCGCCCAGACAGGACACCCAGTAATTATTACCACGGGGGTCCTGAGAAGTCTGGTGGCCGGTGGCTGGAGTGACGCCTCCTAAGAGCAGAAACTGTGATTTGGAGTCATGCTGTAAATTGCTATTAATCTGAAGGGCTCCTGTTGACATTTTGTTGCCTCAGGTTGTGCCCTGCTGTTGTACAGAAAGAAATAAAGATAAATAACCTCAGGGGCGGCCGGAGACTCCTACAGTATCGCTGGAGATGGGACCCAGCGCCCAGTAACACAGACCACCGCGCCCAGTAACACAGACCACCGCGCCCAGTAACACAGACCACCGCGCCCAGTAACACAGACCACCGCGCAGACCTGCCATGGCCGTGGAGGGGAAGAAAGCACTTTTAAAACGTGGTAGTGATGCAGATGTTGATGGTAATGAAAAAGCACGGTGACTTAGGGGTCGGGATATTTATGCTTTAGGTGCAGGAGACGGCAAATAAAAAACGTGTGTGTGTGTGTGTGAGGCATCTACCACAGTAGCACTTCATAGCGTCGAGGTGATTTGTTTTAATATTATTTTACGCTCTTTAGCCATTTAATCTATGTAGAAGATAAAAAAACACATCTATTGAATTTGCATGGGAAAGCTGAGTGCCTCGACTTGGCAAAAAGCAAGTTAACTGCGAAGACTGAGTGCAACATCTTTCTCACAGTTGAAAATCACATTACAAACTGCTGTGAACAGGGAAAGACTTAAAACCTGTGTTAGATCCATCACGTCAGGCTGTTTTCAGTTGACTTCCTCGTAGCTGTTATTGACTTCACTGCTGTTACAACAGCTAAAAAACTGTAATTTAGTTGACTACTGTAGATGGCCCGCTCTGCTCTCCATTATAGGTACCATGCAGCTATCTGACCTGGGTCCCCAGAGTAGCAATTCTGACAGAGAAAGTCCAAGGTGCCGGTTGTACAGTATGAAAAATGTACCTTACAACGAAGTAACTTAATAATATGCTAATTTTTATTATTCATATTATGGCTCAGTGAGTAACTTAACACTATCGTTTCCTGCGCCCAGGGTGGTGGGGTCGAATCCAGAGCTGTGCACAGACTTTATTTATTTTATTTTTTTGGGGGGGCGTGGCTTAGGGGTGCATTTTGCAATAAGAAAGATGGATGGATTGCTACACTTATGATTATTTAGCCAACATCTTCCAGAAAATAATATGCGAAGAATCGTATGTGTTTCTGTTCTGCTTTAACCTGAATTGTCCCACTTACGTGTCCTTCAGCTGCAGGATCTCACCTTGGGGCTTGAACCTGCACCCCTCCTACCGTCACCGCTTAAACACCGCTGGGGGGCAGGTGTTAACTCACATGTCGATTCCGTGCTTCATGTGTGTGAGCTGTGATATGAATACAGGCAGAATTGGGGGCCGCCGTCTTCCCGCTGCCCCGCTGCCCCGCTGCTGTCGTCTTCCCGTCGGTGTGGAGATGAGAGCCGCAGCTGGCCGGCTGCTCTAGCCTCCTCCTGCCGTCTCTGTGCTCGTCGTCTGTGCACACAGTCGTCTCTGCTCACGACGGCCCAAGCGTCACCCTGCTGGGCGAGTGGTGCCCGATTCAGGGAGCCCGGAAGCCCTGCCATGTTACAGCTTCTACGCTCTGCTGAGACGCTCTGCTGGTGCTGTCATGCCGTCACATGGTAATACGAGCATGACACCGTGTGAACAGCTCATGCCGTGCCTGCAAATGCAGACGGCTGCTGGCTTTGGCAGGCTGACTGCCGTCCCCAGAACAGGTACTCAGCAGGGCTGAGGCACACGGCAGCAGGCCTTGGGGACCGGCCTTAATAATAATAATAATAGACTAGATAAAACTATATCAATAATAAAACTAGATTTAAATATACTGGGGCCCAAGCCCCAAGCGATTCGGCCCAGAAGGTTGGGACCCCACACATTTGGGAACCAAAACGACCAAGACAGTTTAGCTTAATGACGATTTGTGATGAGTGTGTGTGAATGCAGTACTGGCAATAAAGGCACGTCGATTTGTTGCTAAAAGTAGCAAAATGACGTTTGGATTTTTAAAAAATAATAATAATCAGGACAAAACCAATGTGGATCCATCAGCTGTTTCTGCTTGGACCCCTAATAAATAATAATAATCAGAATCAGAAAAAAACTTTATTGATCCCATAGGGAAATTGCTTATGCTACAACTCCACAGACACCATTAGACATGATGAACACTATGTAGCAAGAAGGAAAAGTAATATGACAAAGAAGTTAAAGAGAATTAAATTAAATCTAAAATGTAAAAGACAGAATGGGTATCAAATAAACAACTATATAAACTCTTTAGGAGAAAAGATACATAATTTCGTTTTAGTAAAATACCATATATTGTTGTCTAACTAGTTCCTTATAAAGGATAAGGGGTAAATTACCTAAAAATAAACAATTTAACAAACAAACAAATAAATAAATAAAGTCTAATAACAGAAATAATAACAGAATAATTGAAAATAAAATCTAATAATCTAAATAATAATAGGAATAAGATTAATAATGGATTCTTATGTTATTCTCTTTATTAACATTCAGATTCATCAATTATACAGTGGTTACATCAGGGGTCACCAACATGGTGCCTGTGGACACCAGGATGCCCCCAAGGGCCACATGAGTTGCCCGCGGACCTGTTTTAAAAATAGCACAACTCACCAGTGAGCAGCGTGTAAAATTTAATTTTATCCTGTTGTTATTCTTCTTTAATCACATTTGCATTTATATAGATTTGAAAATGGCAATATCTAAAAGAAAGCATTTAAAACATGTTTACTATACATGAAGTTTAGATAAGTTTAGGAGGGCGTTTCAAACTGGTAGCCCTTCGTATGGCTCAGTACCCGTGAAGTAGCACTCAGTTTCAAAAAGGTTGGTGACCCCTGGGTTACAGTACAGGGTTCACTTAAACTTTCCGTCTCATCCCTGCTGGTCCCCAGGGCCCCGTGAGGCCCCCAGAGACGTGGAGGTGAATCACAGCCAGGCCCTTGCTTGTGGCCCCCAGTGAACACAGGTGCACCATGTGCAACTAACTGTCATGTGCCTCTTTACTGGGTTATATGCATGTTTAAACCAACGGGGTTTTGATGTCCAAGTGCATCGCACAGTGATACATGCTAACAAGGCTTTTTGCTCATTCTGTGCTGCCCACCCTCACGCACCCCCTGGCCTTTCACAGCGGGGGCCAGTTTCCATATCTTGCGGGGGGTCCTGCAGCTCACAGTGACTGTCGAGGACCTGGGTGGACATGGAACCAGGCAGTATGGCTACAACAGGAGGCCCGTCAAGCTGCTGCAGAGGCCGGGGACTGGAACCCAGCAGGTCAGAACTGAACCAAAGCAGATCCAGATTCATATGGGTGCCAGTCAAATTGATGCCAGAGCGCAAGATGTTTACAGCAAAGGGTTTACCACTAACTATAAGACTAACCATAATACTAACCCCTAACACAAACCATAATACTAACCAATAACACTTACTCATACAAGGACAGATGTGCCTCTGAGATTCTCTAGATTTTTTTTTCAACAGCGTCCGTAATCCCCGTCAGTGATACCAGTCCAGAAAGAACATTGGTTTGCAAGTACACATTGCTCAATATTTGCTCTTTATCTGCTGCTTTACCAATTTTCACAAGTGTGAAGAGGGACAGAGATATGAAGGATCATTTTCCTGAATGACAGAGACACACAAAAGCTCAAGCCTGTGAAACGCCAG